AAAAGTCCATTCATTAAACTTTACTTTAAACTTTAAACCAGTCACGGTTCAACATACTCCATTCACTAAAAAACAATAATCCAGTCTCGGTTCAACATACTCCATTCACTAAAAAACAATAATCCAGTCTTGGTTCAACATACTCCATTCACTTAACAACATAACCCAGTCACTGTTCAACATACTACAGGCACTAAACAACATAACCAAGTCATGGTTCAACATACTCCAGGCACTAAACAACCTATCCCAGTCACTAAACAACATGACCCAGTCACTGAATAGCATAACCCAGTCATGGTTCAACATACTACATTCACTAGAAAACATAACCCAGTCTCAGTTCAACATACTCCAGTCAGTAAGAAACATAACCTAGTCTCGGTTCAACATACCCCGTACAGACTTATTTACTGTATACAGGGAAATTTTCGCCCCTGTTTTATTTTCGCCTCTTTCGCCCTCTCCTTGATTGGGCGAATTTAAAACGGGACGAGTTCAAATTACACTGCATAATTTTTAAAACAGAACTATGACTGGGCGAATTTAAAACAGGACAAAATTGTTCACAAGTTCAAAAGGGCGAAAAGAACACGGGGAGAAAATAACCCTGTATACAGTATTTTGAACCGTGACTGGGTTATGTCGTTTAGAGACTTTTATATCTTGAACCGTGACTGGGTTATGTAGTTTAGAGACTTGTTTATGTAGAACCGTGACTGGGTTATGTAGTTTAGAGACTTGTTTATGTAGAACCGTGACTGGGTTATGTAGTGTAGAAACTTGTTTTTATTGATCCATGACTGGGTTATGTAGTTTAGAGACTTGTTTATGTAGAACCGTGACTGGGTTCGGTAGTTTAGAGACTTTTTTATGTAGAACTGTGACTGGGTTATGTAGTTTAGAGACTGGTTTATGTTGAACCGTGACTGGGTTAGGTTGTCAAGAGACTTATTTACTGTATACAAGGAAATTTTCGCCCCTGTTTTATTTTCGCCTCTTTCGCCATCTCCTTGATTGGGCGAATTTAAAACGGGACGAGTTCAAATTACACTGCATAATTTTTAAAACAGAACTATGACTGGGCGAATTTAAAACAGGACAAAATTGTTCACAAGTTCAAAAGGGCGAAAAGAACACGGGGAGAAAATAATCCTGTATACAGTATTTTGAACCGTGACTGGGTTATGTAGTTTAGAGACTTGTTTATTTAGAACCGTGACTGGGTTATGTAGTTTAGAGACTTGTTTATGTAGAACCGTGACTGGGTTATGTAGTTTAGAGACTTGTTTATGTAGAACCGTGACTGGGTTATGTAGTTTAGAGACTTGTTTATGTTGAACCGTGACTGGATTAGGTAGTTTAGAGACTTGTTTATGTTGAACCGTGACTGGGTTATGTAGTTTAAACTTTTTTATCTTGAACCGTGACTGGGTTAGGTTTTTAAGAGACTTTTTTATGTAGAACCGTGACTGGGTTATGTAGTTTAGAGACTTGTTATGTAGAACCGTGACTGGGTTAGGTAGTTAAGAGACTTGTTTATATTGAACCGTGACTAGGTTATGTAGTTTAGAGACTTATTTATGTAGAACCGCGACTGGGTTATGTAGTTTAGAGACTTGTTTATATAGAACCGTGACTGGGTTAGGTAGTTTAGAGACTTGTTTATGTTCAACCATGAGTAATGTTGAATAGTGACTGGGATATGTAGTTCAGTGGCTGGGTTACACTGTTCGGTGACTGGGATCTGTTGAACCATGACTGGATTAGTAGGTTTCCCTGTGTATCGGATTTTAGTTTCCAATGAACTTTTTTTTATGAGTTATGTGAGTTATGGCACAGTTGAACATTTTATTAGGTTATGTTGAACACCTATATCATCATATATTGCTCGTTGAACGTTATTTTATTTCTAGGACCTAATTCCTTTTATCCAGGTTCACATTTAGAGACTAATTACCTAGCGTTATATGGGCTGGATTCCTTATAACAACCTTCTTTTTGTCTCGGTAGATTAACATACTTAATCAAGTAAATAATATTCTGCAGTACGTGCACATCCCAAGTACTAAAGTAGGTCACTAGTTCTACTTTGGCATGCTTGTGTATAGAAGTGATACTAATAGGTCATGAAATTTAGTATGTTTACTATTAAATACCACAAACTTGGTGAAATCATTTTTTCGCTTGGATGTCATAATATTATGTCTCCGATTAACGATTGACAATCGAATTAGTTGCCACACATCAACATGTTTACAAAAGTATATTGCATCGGGATCGTATATGTGTTCTATTACATAAAACCATACCGGAAATAATATTCCCGGAATCCAAGACTAGGTTATGTTATAGACTCTACCGAAGAATTCATCCTTAAACAAGGAATTCCTGAACTGGACTGCTGAACACCATTGTAGTAATTATTGAAATGTTGGAGCGAGACGAACTTTCAAGACCAAAGAACTTCTAGGTCATTGCGCATCACAACATAAGAATACGGCAGCCCATTTGTGTAATAACTGCAATTTAATTGGCATTTTTTTCATCTCAGATGTAAATATAAGTGATAAACAGCAATGTTAAAAACTTTACTGCTAAATTTAAAAACTTTACTGCTAAATGAACTTAGTTGGTACGAGATCAAATCTACTGAGATGCCCATGAACAATTTAGTACATTTCCCAGAGAACTTTTTAACCTTGTTGTTTATTTCTTAAATAAAGTAATTTTCTTACTTTTATTCCGTTTTTCTAAACTTATTAAAATTAACAAGCTTTAAGTATTTCATCAAATACATTAGGGTGATGGTTTATGTTTATTTTAAGGTCTGGCGATACGTTCCTTTATATTATGATTTTTTTTAATTAAATTTCTAGGCAATGCTGGTAATACAGAAATCCCCATAATTATCATCCTTGTTACTTGTAAACTGTTTTAAAATGCTTTAAAGTATATAAAAAATTAATATAAGCATTTAAAGTGATATACAATACATTTTGTTTATAATTGTAAACACGTATTACAATTTGTTTCCACCCGCAAACTTTCTTTGAAATATAATATCAGGAATTTCCTAAGCTAGTGTTGTTGATAAATTACACTCTTTTCTCAAACATATGTTTGATGATCATTCGTTGAGTCTACAGAAAAGCAACAATTGTTCAAGCACAGGATTTTTTATTATTTCCTTTTTCTTTTACATTGTTTCTTTGTGTTCCGTTTTGTTTTTTAATTTTCTTTTAGCTATCATTGCAAGTTTTTCAGAATTTTCACGGGCTTGAGGAAACAAAAGACGAAAACGAATATCTTTGTAAGAGTCACGCAGTTTGCGAAGTGTATTTTTACAATTCCTGATATGTCCCGTCTCCAAATGACAAAGAAACATCACAAATAAAGTGTATGATTTGTCATACATTATGAAGTAATTCATCGGAGAAGCACGAACATCACTTTTAAGATCTTCGGGATAACAACAGCTATCTTTGGGAAAGTACATAAACCATGAGCAGTATTTTTCTATTAGATATGTAAAATTACACTCAGGTTTGCCAATATCAGACAATAATAATCTATTATAAATAATTCCCAACGTTGGGCTATCTGTTAATTTGTTGAGAACATGACAGAGCACTTCTATTGCAGAATTATATTTTCCATGGCAATACCACAGTGTCGCTAAGAATAGTCCTCCAGATGCTAGAAAATTCCGTTCCAAAATGAAAGCTGATTCCGCTGACAGTAAGTACTTAGTAAAACCAGTCAGAATAAACTTTTTATAAAGAATGACCCCAGCTATTCTTATAACACTTATGAATAGATATTTCAGCGCCGCAACTGTTCTTTCATCTTTCTCACTTTCTAAAAGCTGAAATATTTTTACAATGGAAAGCATACATGTCTGAAACGTTGTCTGGTGCCCTTTCACATCCTTCAATGCCTGAGACAATGTAATCAGGTCTCGTAATTTTTTTGGTGCTTGTTGAATCAAACGAGCAGGGTTATTAAAAGATGAAATTCTGGTTAAATTTACAAGATAATATGATAAATTGAACGTGATTGAGTGAATAAACAATGTGTTGCTCAAGAGCACAGAAAGATTTCAGCCACTGGATGCCTTTACATCGCCTTTTGTGGGACCCTTTGGTACAACATGCATCAAGGTAACACGTTTCTCTAACAGACGTGATTTTAAATTATTCCAAAACTTTGTTGAAAACTTCCTCAAAATCTTATTTGAGGAAATTGGGTATACAGGAAAGCAATGGCAAACATCGTTTCCCGTCGGTGTGTATGATGTAATACATGGTCAGTGACTTATGCAATCAGTGCATTTATTAATGCTGTATTTGTAGCATTCTTCCAAAACTCAATCCTAGAAACATAATCATCATCAGACACTTTGCCAAACTTTTGTGGATAACGTACAAGTTTACAGAAGCTTGGTTTGCAACCAATGTCACTTGCAATGAATTTAATATATCTAGAGTATGTTAATCCTTCTAATTCTATGACAACAGTTTCTTTTGTGTATGACCACATTATATCAAGATCACTCCAATGAAATTTAAATCCTTCAGCAGAACTTCCAGAAATAAATTCATCATTCATCTGACTAACATTCTTCACATTCACATAGACTCTGTTTATTTCTCTCCTCAATTTAATATCTTCCTCTGTGCCTATTGCAAAATCTAAATATTTCCAAAGTTCCCTGGTATAGAAATCCATCATTTTTTTAGTAGGAGTCGATCCTTTTACATGAAATATAGCAAAAACATGTTCAGGCATTTGATCGTATTCTCTTACAAAACATTATTTTAAAAAAAGGATTTTTAAATTTGTGTTAAATTTTATCAACGGGCGTTTATAATTTTTAAAGAAGTACGAGTATGTAGATTTATACAAACATGGATTTAAAAAACAATAAAGAGAAAATCGAAATTCGGTCAACTTATCAATAAAGGATCGCTAAATAAATGGATTTAAAAATTATTTACCGTGTTGTAAGGATTGCATTTGAAGCAAACGTCCTCCCGTTAAAAATTGCCATGTTGTCTTTTTCAATTCCTCCATTTCGTCAGGCTGTCACAAATTCTCGCATGCTCTCAGGCAAGATCATTTGTTCTATTTAATATCATCCTTTTTATAGAAGTAAGGAATTACATCATAGATACATGTATTGACTGTTTGTTTGGGGACATTTGCTTGGTAACTTAATGATTGTATGGTGGCATATCTGTGTCTTTAACATACAATTATGTTTACTTGCGAAAAAGGAATGTTGAGATGTCTATCATTTTTATCAGCATGCAAAAAATTATGTGACATGCATTTTATTATTCTCTGAATTTAAAGAATTTAATTCTAAGGTAAACTAACTTACTAACGTCATTATATGACATCATACAAGCAAGGTGCTTCGAAACACAGGAGTCCAAAGTTTTTACCGTAACTTTAGTTGATTACAGTCAAGGATGAGCCATCAAGGTGGACAAAGGGCCAAGCACGGTCCGTAGTTCTCAAGCAGCTTAGATTATTGAACTTAAATAAATAGCACAAACACTCCGGATACTGAATTAGTCACAAAATTCTTCTGACCAAACCCAAACCTATTGTTTTTTTAGTCGAATGTGGGTATTGGGGGGGGTATGGTTACGATTAAATTTTCAAACTCCTATGAACAGAATTTATTGGAAATGCGACTAGTTTATATATTTACATGCGAGATAATAATGTAAATATCTTGAATATTACATGTATGACAACATGCAAGATAATTGTGTAGACATGCAAATTATTTATGTCAACATGCAAGATAATATTTCATAGAGATCTTTAAATGACGGTATAAATGTAAACAATTAAACGCAATATGAGGATTGATTGTAAGTTACGTAAAATATGATACTGTCTGATCCCCGAATAGGAGTAGAAAAAAGAATCGATGGCATATTAAAAAAGGGCGCATATTATAAATTAATCAGTAAACAAAGGGTAAGATCGAAAGGGGTAATTTGAGTCCTCAAATTAGAAGAGCCTCGTGTAATCGGTGGTCAACATGCGGGTATCAAAATACAAGTGACCCGCTAAGCTGACCAAGTGACCTCATACCATCCTTGGCTAGACGTAATCTATTCATATTTTGGCAAAAACGTGGATAAAAGAACTTTACTTTGAAGGAACTTTACAACAGGGATGACCGGTCACGGTAGTCTAGTGGTAGAGTGTTCGCTTCGTGATCGGGAGGTCCGGGTTCGATTCTAGATCGCGGCGCCGCGTCATACCTAAGACGTAAACATAGGAAGTGACTGTTCCTTCGCCAAGCGCTCGGCACTAAAAGTTAAAGTCACGGATATGACCTTAAAAACATAGGACACGTGTCACGGTAGGCGCTGGCACGATAAAGAACCCTCAATGACCCTGAGTGATGAGTATAGGTCAAAATTTGAAGCCCTTCACCGGCATACGATGACGTCTCCAAATGTGTGAAAAATTCTCGAAAGGGACATTTAACAAAATACAATCAATCAATACAACAGGGATACGGTAATTTAAAAAAAGTAATTATAATTTATCGTTATTAAATACATTTGTCAAAGTAATTGGGAGTAATTTGTATTTGAGCCACCTTTCAACTATATTTTATTGAATGTATTTATTGAATGTATTTTTAATTACTTTTCAATGTCATTTTAATTACTTTTTTTCAAGTTCAAAGTGTAAAATTAAAATTCTCATAATTGTTTAATTTGTGTATACAGCATGTCACTCTGCTCGGGGCAATAGGTAGAGGTCTAATTTTGTCCAGGTTTAAACCCATTCCCAAGAACAAATACATTGAATAAATGTTCTCTATAAAGAAAAACATCTTATTCAAAATCAGACATGAATTCAAGTGTATAAGGCGAATTTAATGTCCCTGAAAATGTTTTAGAAATTTTAAAGCTAAATGTAAACAATGTGAATTTCACATATTTGGCACTAAAAAGAATACTTCTAACATTCTTACACATGCGTCTTAACTGCACCAGCAACTTTGACACCCCCTGAAAGACTTTAAAGAAACGTCTGGGAAAATCTTCGGACCAAAAAAAAATGTTAATCGAGTGATACTGTGTTTGGTGATGAATAAAAGCTATAAAACATTTCAGTAAATAATGCTTTGTGTATCCCAATGCTGTTTATACAATATATTTGTTCTCACGAATTTAAAAAAAAAATTAAACTAATGTAATTGAAATGTATTTAATCACATTTTCTAGATAATTGAGTGTAATATTAATTACTTTTGAAAAAATCAATGTAATTGTAATTGCATGTAATTGACAAAATTAGCAATGTATTTGAAAGTAATTAATTACGTTTCAAAGTATTTGACCCCAACCCTGCTTTACAAGCATTTTTAAAATTCTTATGGAATCCCCTATATTAATACCCACACTAAATTCATAAATAGTAGTAGCATATTTAAATTATAACTCACCTAATGACATAAATAAATCGCATGTTGAACATAAATAAACTGCAGGTTGAGATAAATATACTGCATGTTGACAGCTGAATCTGATGACTGTATTTCTACAACTGATTTGGTGGAGATACAGGAGGTGACATCTGATCTATTTCTTTAATTTGCTGATTTGATTAATTTTTGATAGGAAGACACATTGGCACACTAAGGTTGAGGTTGAGGGGATGAGGAGAGTCACAATTCAAAATTCTGAATTTAATACTAGACTTCAAGTCCACAATGGCTTAACTCCTAGCTGCTCTTTGAGCATTATGTATTTTACTGTAATTTCAATTTCGAAGTCAAAATCCGTTTCTTCCAGCAAGCTCAGAAAGCATATCTGAGGTTTCCGAGGTTTTCTGAGCTTGCTGAAAAGACCCATACAAGTAGATAAGAAAAACAAGGTATTCATTACAATTTTAGAAACAACAGTCTTGGTTTATATGACTCGAATTACTGTTTCTTTTTCTTCATTTATGTGCAGGTTAGAAAAAAAAAAACTTCAGATCACATGTTTTATCAGATGATAAAGACTAAATTAACATAACTTCCAAACATACTCTTAGAAGTCTTTTTCCCCGAGAGGCGGAATTATCCCGAAAGGTGGTATAACTGGTGCAAAAAACCGACGGCATCCTAAGATGCAGACATGCCTTAGATTTATTCGAACCTGACACCCTTAATCAAGCATTTGGTCAGTATCTCGTACGTCAAATATTATTAAGAGTGTTTCCTTGGTATTAATGGACATTTTCGGTTGGGTGAACTTCTACAGCTGTTAGCGGCTACGGATAAAGAAGTGTGGAAATCATGTTGTGCCAAAATGAAATAACTAATGCAAACAAATGATATACATGTAATCTAAATCAATCAAAATGGTTATTAGATACATTCAATTTTGCATTTTTAAACAAAAAAGTTCAAAACAAGGAAGGATTCCATACAATATCATGTTACACCTGCGCAAAATACCAAATGCGAAACCTCAATACTACTCAGGCAAAAAGCATCAGGGGGGGGGGGCTTTTTTCTCAACATTACTGTTACTATTGAAAATGTTCATTGAAATGCTGGTTGCCCCCTTTTTACTACAGTTAAGGTATATCAGGGAAATGTAGTATTGTATGCCAGAAAAAAAGTTGGCATTGAAAAAAAATTAATTTGACTCTACACCCCCTCCCTCCCAACACAAAATAGGATTTTTGTGTTTGGGCAATTTTCCTTTTGGGATGGGGCTTGTCAACTTTTTCAGGTAGGTCAACAAAAATTCTCCGGTTTGCCCTCCACTTCTAAAAACGATGCTTTGTCACTGCTACTAATTAATAACATATACTCATTATATATGAATCACAGTATTTCTGACCTCTTGAAAATAATATAACTTTAGTAATCTTGCAAGTAGGTTAGCAACATTAGCTTGGGCTAGTACGAAAGATAAATTTGGAGTTTGGCTCTAAATAATTTGTGGTATAAATCTTGACTTCAAATTCTCCATCAGAAGTTTGAAGTCAAATACATTCTCGAAATGTAGGTTATAAAACTCACGATTAATAAATATGCGTGGTGCTGAAAGCTGGGATGAGCTTTACCACGATAAATGAAATACTGGGAACGAATTCCAAAAAAAATTCGATGTGTTAGAAATGAATTTTTACAATGGCATATGAAATTCATGGTTTTATGAAACTTACAGGGGAAGTGGAGCGCACCTCCTTATATAATCATGCAACTTATTATAATAAAATTAAAAAAAAATAAAGAAAAATTTATATAGCTGTCCCCCGCATCAGCACTCGGCTTGTGGAGGAACAGACACTTAGCATCAGGGGGCTAGGAAGACCTGCTCCCCCAATGTTAAAAAATAAACGTTATACTCTTGAAAATGTTCCTTGAACATTGCCCCCCCCATTCCCCCTTTTTTTGCAGTATAGTAACATAATCTAAATAGGGTAATGTTGTAGTTAATGAATAAAATTTAGTAATGAAAGATATGAACCTATTCTTCATGTCAGTTTTCTTTGAGATAGTCCAATTTTTCTGACTCTCCTAACCCCCCCCCCCCTTCCACACACACACACACACACACACACGATAAAAAATGATGCTACCTGCTTGAGTTAATTTTACTTACTGGTGTTCACCTTAAATGCTTGATTATGCCCTCAAACTGGAATAATTCTTAAGGCCTGGAATATTTGTTAGACCAATCTATACTATAAACGCAACTTAATTTTTATTTTTTTTTTTAAAAAAAGACAAGGTTATATGGTATGTATTATCTACATATTCTATGTACATGTAGTTCTTATTAAAAAAAAAACCTTAGCGATGTTTGACGACATCCCATTCAAGATGCACAGGGACTTGCTCCCAGCGTGTAATAATTATTTATTAAAAAATCATATACCATTATAGTTTTATTATTACGGTATATGATTTTTTAATAAATAATTATTACACGCCGGGCGCAAGTCCCTGTGCAAGGTGTAAAAAAAAACAGTTTAAAATACTTTATATACTAAATTACTTAAAATATTTTTGCGCATAATGCACTCCATACTGAAGATCCGTAGTTGCTAGTTTGTAAATGTTCACGCAACCGAAAATGTCCAATAGCACATGTCATTTTATATTAGTAAAATATCCC